TAGAAACAAGAGAGCGTGAGAACTGTCACGTGATCTCGATGACGCAACAGCGTTAAAAAATGTATAATATAGTTTTGACTATTACTTTTGTTACTTACGGCATAAGAGATGACGAAATATGCACGCTATTAAGCAGTATAAACTAAACAATGTTCGGAACTGACAGAAGGAATTGGTTCGTTAAATTAAAAGTTCAAAAATATCTTCGTGCATTAAAACATTCTGATACAAAACATACATCCAAGTCGTGGCGCGTTGTTTCTCATAAAAATGAGTCGTGAATAAAACTTGTATCGCTTTAGGTGACGTACTTGTGTGAAGTAAAATCCTAATAATAATAACGTGTTTATTTTGCAATTTACAAATAAGCGATACAGTACCAAGTCTGATGCGACCAACTTTTCTCATGGACAGATTGAACAATTATTATCCTACGTACAGGAGGACTAATGGTTGAATCTGAGACTTTATGGTTTTCGATTCATTGCTTCAATATCGCGCTTTGGAGCCGTGGATGCGCTGTGACAGTACCGGTCAAATAACTATTAACGGTAGGTGTTTTTGACTAGCTGCCTTTCATTTTAGTCTGTCAGTTCAAACTTAGGGACAATAGTGCGCAAATCGACAGAAAGCTCAAGTGTAGCTTTGTGTGAATGTTTGAACACAAAGAAACCTCAAACTAATCTACATTGTTAGGGTTTATTATATTTCTAACATATATGCTGCATTTTTTTATATATTGCAGCCTTGTGTGTCGTTATGGTTTTCGTAAAGTACTTCCAGATCTAGGGCTGGAATGCCCTTGTGGTTAGGGCGCTCGACTCCCAATCTGCGGGTCGCGGGATCGAGTCCCCGTTACTAAACATGTGGAGGCGTTAAACAGTGATGGTCAATTCCACTATTCGTTTGTAAAAGAGTGGGCGGTGAGAGGTGATGACTAGCTGCCTTCTTTCTAGTCTCTCACTGCTAAATTAGGGACCGCCAGCGCAAATATCCCTGGAATAGCTTTGCGTGAAATTCAAAACCAACCAAACTTCCAGATCTAATTTAAAACCTTCATCTAATACTTCTGGTCGGTTTTTAACTTTTTCTTTACAATAATAAAATAGAATGGTAAAAAAAAAGACAAATAAAACCAGCCCCCCCCCCCCCCCCCGTGGCTCAAAGGTAAACCTCTGGCCTTATAACACTAAGAATCGAGTTTCGATAGCTGCAGTAGGCTGAGCACAGATAGACTACTGTATAGCTTTACACTTAACAACAAACATAATCCTTAAAACCTAGTTTGAAGTGTTGTAGTTCTGTAAATCAACACGTTTCCATAGAATCTTTCTTCCAACAAGAAAGAATTAATGGAATTTCCTCTTTGTTTTTGCCACCCCTAAACACTGTTTCTCCTCTAGGAGGTGGTTCATATTCCGTCGGAAAGTCCAAAATATTCTGTATCCAAATATGCAGTCTTTATGATGGTAACTGTACGAGTCGGGAATTATGAGCAGAGAAAAAACAGGGTTTCATGTGGCTGCATCACCTTACCAGCAACGGTCACAGATATGTACTGATTATGTATTTTTAGATTCTCAAATCAAATTATGCGAAATTTCTTTATTGTCCGTTCAAAGTGGGAGACCTTGTTCTTAATCTTCTGATCTGGCAGAAGGCTACTACTACTACTACTACTGTCATTACTGTTCTTGCCAGCACCAAACTTATTTTGTAGTGCTACCACAGCATCTTTGAACTTAATAAATGGATTTGTCTGAACAAGGGTTGTCAAAAAATCCATCATGACCACATCCACAGCGGCTATACCAGTTGCAAGTCAAAGATCTTGGAACTTTGCACATGCAGGTAATCGAAAGGATAATGGTAATTACTAACATACTGAAGAGTAGTAAAGTTCCAGTCACGGTCAGCGAGGCTTGAAGGTTATGGTCTGAAAGACAAATAGAACAACAGGCGAAGAAGGCTCATGTACCGGACCTGTCAATTACACAACAACAACAATTAATTGCTGATGATGTTGCCAGTCATAACTCGGTCAGGTTTTGCCTGATTGGGAAACAGTAATTGTAGTCTTCGTATCTCATGGAATGCTACATTTTATATAAGTTCTACCAAAATAGAATAAAAATCGGATCTTTTACGTCTAATCTCTGCCACTGAGGAGCCTCTGGTTGAGGGCGAAATCCTATGTTAATTATGTCATTAAAGACGTAATTATTAGGAACATCTGAGTAAAGATAAGTAAACTGTACTGATCAGAACTAAATTAAGATATCGGAAGACATTCTCTTCTAGAATAAAAATCTATAAATCAATACGCCAGAAAGTAAAAACAATAATGATTGGAATCCATTGAATCATCAGTTGTGTACTCATGCTGTTATCGGAAATTACGACCGTAATCCCAATAATAACTCACGAAATTTCGCTAGATTAGATTTAATTTAGCCCTAAATCTATACAATAATCTCCTGTGAGTAATTTCTGAGCTCCAACGAAAGTCCCAATTTAAATAAATAAATAATGTTCCACTTAAGCTTATTCTTATAAATAATTGTATAGATATAGGTTGAAGTCATTTAATTTAAAAGAACTTTCAAACAAAATCAATTTCTAACAAACTTCTACTA